GCGCCTCTTGAGCCTGCCAATACACTTGATCTCGCATGGCACCCAGCGTAAAATCGATGTGGAGCGCGCCTTTAAGGCCTTTGATGTCAATTGTGATATAGACTGATGAATACATCGTCTGTAACAGGCACCGACAACGATCAGTCGATTAAATGAATAGTTATAAACCATAAACTGCGTCGACAGGAGCTATCAAAATACCAGTACAGTGCTAGCAGGGATACTACGCATAAACAAAGTTAAGCATTATGTCTAAGTGGTACAACAGGACCAACCAACATAACAACGACTGGTGTGCGTGAGGTAACGTTAAATTCCGCTTTAAAACCAGGACAGAATGTTTTCGCCGAAAAAAATCGAAGGCACATATGAATATTAAACACGGCAAACAATCCTTACATTAGCCCAGTCAACCTTCATGCATCTTAACTGACGCAAAACACCTACGACCTAACGAGATAATTTAGTCGGTCCACCAAGCTTTCAGTGCCAAATGCCAACGCAAAAGAGAAATACAAAGACGCACCATATCCATTGTCGCGCTTCCTCAGTTGCTTTCCGAACCAGCCTCTCGGGAAGCTTTACTGTTGTTGACGTATTAAAACAAACGCTATCAGTTCGAAGGGTTAGTGTATCCACTATATAGTCATAACTCTTAGACTAGCATTCTAAGTTTTATATTTTTATGAGTGCATATTCCTCAAAATTAAGTTGGCATTGGCACCAGGCCCAGTTCTGTTTATATTCGCAGAAGCGCCGCATGGACTAATTTCAGTAGATGGAGGGGATTGATGTCCTCTCTCAGCCGTTTGAATATTTGGGCGTCATTTATGATAAATACCAGTGAGGATTAAAACTTGACCAGATCGATACAGCGTACTCAGGTTTCCGAATATACTGTACTCGATTTTCTTTTTAGATCTGTCTCCCGTGTATAAACATTTACCTCTTCATGCGTGTTCTTCATATTTATGCAGCTAGGCTTCTTAAATCCCTTTACAAAATCTGGAGAGACGACAAAGTCACAACAGTTGTCCGAACGCGAGTCCAGTATGGTTTTGTATATTATGCATCGCCATGTAAACGAGTAATTTGTTTTTATCTTTTATTTCGAGTGTTGTTGTTAAGTTGCTATTTTGCGACGAGCCAAGAACAGCTAATACTGCTGCACACGCTAACACATGTTGGTGTCGCACGATTGTGATCTCGACTTACAGTAAAGATCGATGCAGTGGGCTGTTGCACGTGTTAAAACACTCTAATGATGCACCCGTGTAACCTTCCGACCCCTTCTAAAGACTGGCGTGGTTGCAGACGGATAAAAAGTCGTAGAAGTGGATACTGGATGTCATAGGATTTTCGCGACGGGGCTCAGCAATAACTCCCTGTGTGGCTGTGTTGTTTTGCTGCACTAAGGGGGTATATGTACGTGCAGGCCAGTGAGGCTATAATGGACAAGCATATCATAAGACAGTATTTAACAACTGCTACAGTAAATTCTTAAATTTCTGTGCAAAAGCAAAAGACTGCAACGTAAGGCTCGAAATATGGATAACCATGTACATAATCGTAAGATATTTCAAGCTCGACCAGATTTTAGTCTTCAAATGCGCCTTTTAACGGCTGCATGCAAAAACGGCACTAAGGAAAAAATGGCTATTTGGCAGTCATAATCTTTTCAGGAAGATTTTCGATGTTAATATAAACTGAAGCAGACTTTGCAACAACATATCAAAAACCAATTTATCTCACATATATTTTGCAGCAAATTATGTCTCCTTTACAGTTCATACGGAAATACAGGGTATCCTTCGATTTAACATTTTCTCGATGTTAAGGACAGATGGTTGGCAATGCAATAGCATAGGCTATAACACAGTATCCCATGAAAGGTAGCCGAAATCCTTAAGTATTTTCTCTATTAGAAGGAACAACTATGGTAAGACTGCGATATCGATCGTTGTGCAGCGTAATATTAATATATAGAAGTCAAGAAAGGCCGTCAGCCTTTGAATGCGATCCTTAAATTCCGCATGAAGGAACTACGCCATATGAAAAAGCGGCCGGTTGGATATTACTCATTCTCTTATTTGATTCTCCATACCCATGTAAATTCAGATAAATTTTATAGAAATGGCGCACGAAACACTTTTTCCTGCTCTCGTTTTTTTAGTAGCATACGTACTCTTGAAATTTGATACTCGAAAAAGGGTGTCTTTTGACTTTGAAAATGTCTTAGAATCATCGATAATTTTGAACCCGTTTTCCTTTTGCACTTAAGCTCAGGGATTCTAAACTAAAACCTTCTTACCTTCCATATAGGGCAAAACTCATATTCATCCATTCATTGGGCAGATGCCATATAAGGCTCAGAAAATTCTGCAGTGGCAGTGAATAATGTCACATACTTCATAAGCAGCATTTATATGCGGATGGACACGATGTTATTTGACTGGACACTTCAAAATGTAAAAAAAGTAATGCTAGCAAGTCCTTTTGAAGCCGAGAGATATTATAATTTGACTTAACAATTCCAATAGGACGTCATTTGTTTGCAATGAATGCAGGATAGGATGTTTTGCATATGATTTCTGACATATATCTGTGAATTTGTGAAGACAGCAAAAGCCAATGAAAAAAATTAGCCGTATCCGAGTTCTTGTTTAGCGTGGTTCGTGTATGGGGCTGGAAAGAGACTTTTTGAATAACCGACTTCCTAAAATGATGCGGATTTCTTAAGATTGTGCTTCATAGCAATCAGTATTAGAACCCCATTTAAGTAAACCTTCTAATGGACAACATGTTTAACAATTGCCGCTGACATTTCTTGGGCTACGCCGCGTACACCTAGAACGGGATGATAAAAAATTTTGTGTATTTTA